GACCGCTAGCCCAGCGCCTCTGCCTCTCAACTGACAATGACAACCAAGAAGATACGCCGTCGCCTTGTTCTTCACGCCCACGTCCATCGTAAGGACAACAACAACTACTTGAATACCAACCCCCTGTTGTATATATATATATATATATATGACGAACGATGTGGTGTGTAGTATCTGGAGGCATCAGAATATGACGACAGCAGCGCCGAAACGGCCGCGCACCGCGTCGGACACCAAGCAGCAGCTGATTGAGCGGACGGTCGCCAAGCAGATGGGTGTGTGCGCAGTGTCACATGTCCAAATCAAGTGGACGCTTGGCGGGACCATGCGCGAGTCGGCCGATTTGGCGGCGGTGGCGGCGGCGCGGCCGGTGTTTGCGTCCGTCCAAGCCGACTTTGAGCAGGCGGTGGCGGCCGCCGCGACCCAGCTGCACCTGTGGCCGCCGGCGACGCTCACCCGACTGGCCAGTTGTGCGACCAACGGGCACTTGGGCCACGGAGACTTGAAAAGGGCGCGGCGATGTCTAGAGGCGTTCGTGGGCAGCTTCGACCCGACGATTGACATGGCGTTGATTCAGAAGCGAAAGCAGATCGATCTTATCAAGAAAACCCAGCTTAAAGCCGTGCAATTGGCTGGTTCGCATAGCCACAAAGAAGAAGAAGAAGAAGAGGAAGACCTGCTGCCGCTTACACGGAATGACTGGACGTTGGTGCGGCTCTTGGTATCGTTTTACTTTGTCCTGCTGGGTCCAGTCTATGTTGAAACTCTGTCGCATGGATCGATGAAGAACGACGAATATGCGACACTGTGTGGAGGGGTCATCCCTGAACTGGACGTCCAGTACCGCTTGATACGTCGTGGTATTGTCCATTTACATCATGCCAAACGTAAACTCTTTTAGGCGGATACAAAGCTTTGGATATATATATATTGTTTGTACTGACTTTTGTATGTAGAAAACATCTCGTCCAAATTCACACGAATTCAATATAAATGCATTCTTGGTCGGCGAGTGACTGGATGATTTGATTGGCCACTACTTGATTCGTATTGTGGGTTTTGATTGGTCAATTTTCGTCGATTGTCTGCCGATTTCGTATTTCGAATCGACTTGACAATATAACGCTATGTCGTGTACATATAAATGGTATATATATTGTCGTTTTACCCAAAATTTGGACTTTTGTGCTGATTCTTTGCCAAATCTATCGAAAGATCGTCCAGTGTCACACTAATTTCAAGCACACACTAATTCGATGTTGAATTATTCGAAAAGTGGATGATTTGATTGGCTAGTTGATTCATGTTTTGTGTTTTGATTGGTCTATTTTCAATTCTCTGCCGATTTGGTGATGATTCTGCTCATTGAGCACCCAAACACTCCAATTTCGAATCGAATGAACAATTCATAAATATATATATATAAATATATATAGATGCCACCCAATCGAGCGAGTATTACAGTGAAGCCCAAGTGCAGGCATTTCTAGCCACATATGGCAACTACATCAACTTGGACTGGGCGGCCATGGTGTGCAGCGTCCGCCAATTTCCCCAAGCTCTCAGCGACGTGTTGAACCTGGCGATCTCATCGTCGGAAAGCATTGCCGCCGACTGCGAAGACTTGTTGCACCACGTGGCCGAGGGCATTCCGTTCGAGTTTCCGCGTCCGTCGGCGGTGTGCGTGTGCCTCCACTTGCTGCATGTGCTGCTAAAGACCACCAAACAAGCCGCCGTCGACTGGTGCGTCCGCATGTACCCCCGCGTGTCCCCGTGGAACGTGCAGTGGGCTTTGTTCGGGGCCAGCGTCGACTTTGACCAGACCAACTCCACGTACTTGAGCTATCTCACGGCGCTACTACAGAAAGCTCCGGCCTCCCGCGGCGATGCCAGCATTATCACGCACTGGCTGCACATGCATTTCGCCCAACATCAAGCCGAGGATGTGCTGCTAGCGTTCCTGCAATACCCGTCTGTGTATATGCATCCTGATGTGTCTGCGCTTTGCTTCAAACATGAACGGTGGTCGTGCCTTGTGCAGATCGTGCTACACGCTGTCGCAGACCCCACGACATGCAAAATCGGGTGCGAATAGCCATCATACACTATATCCTACTCACGTAGCACACATATATATACATGTAGATTGGTGGACTTGCGGCAGCTGGTATGTTCGATGCTCCAGAGCGACGGCCCCGCCTCGTCCTTGTCGGCCATCTTCCACGCCATGATGCAGCTCGACAACCCTGGCAGACCTCTGCAGTACATTTTAGAAGAAGTCGAAGCGTACATGCAACAAGACACTGCCCTTGATGGAGTGTCCACGGTAAATAAATCTGCGATACTGTACAGATGACGAATCGCTCCCATTGGTCAATCTGAACATGCTTGTCGCTGATTGGGTACATATTTTTATCTTTTTACGTCGTGCTGTGTGCGGAATATCTGGAAAGTAGCCAAAAAATAAATCAAATCCCGTGGCGAGAATTGTGCTCGGTTTTAACGAATCGCGCAGAGTTGGGAAAATTGTGTGGCAACATACAAACAAGTAGGGGTGCGTCTGGTAACATCTCAAAAAAACAATATATCTCAAAAAATAATATATCTTTTTCTGATATCAACCAAAAATGACATTATCAAAATGGAGGTATAAGGTTGGTCCAATATTTTGTAATAGTATGGCGTTTTGGACCTGCTCAACGAGTAAATCCCACGTCGAATGATTGGATTTCAGTGATAAAACTCTTCAACTTTCGATTTTATCCGATTTATTGAATTCGACCCGAAAATGTCGTTTTGGGCCAGAATATTGTAATATTTCAGGTTGCCAGTTTTTGTGTATGTCGTTTTAAAACTAACAGTCCATATTGGATATATATATATATATATACATGTCCAATATCTGTTAAAAACATCTTTTTTAAAATCTTTTTTTGTGTCTAGGACAACCGAGTATACGTCGGCATCTTGCACGCGCTGTTCGATGCATGCGGTCCGCAGCTGGGCCTCCGACTGCTGGACACGTGTCCGACGCTTATCAAGTTGGCGCCGCGGCAGTTGTACGCGGCGGTGGTGCACATGCAGGCGCTGCAACATGCGTACGTTTTTTTCTCCACAAAATATGCAAATAGTTTTGTTCGCTGCTTTTGACTGGAACCTATCTATCTATATATATTATTTATTTGATCTTGTTTTACATTTTGTTTTAATATTTGTCAATTTTTTATTATATAGCCACGCCGAACAAGTGACGCACATATTGGAAGACATCGACACGTACATATGGTCGTGTAGCCGCAGCCATCACATGGGGCTGGCTCCCCAAGTCGAAGCCACGTTCCGCCTAGAGTGCGGGTATTACGACCTTGAGAAGAAGAACCCCCCGCTTCCCACCACCACCACATCGTCCGACACTCGCGTCGGAATGCAAGATGACAGCAATTTGGTGCGGCAATATTTCGAGTCGCGTAGCAACGACTGGGGCGGCGAGATTCAATTGCAGGACTGGCACTGTGTGCACTGCGACTTGCCGGTCGTGTACTTTGGTGCAGGTACAGCATGTAATTAGTATTATGAAGGAGGATTGCAATATATCAAGCGACGAACGGGGGTGTACGTAGATGGACGCAACTTGGACGCGGTGCTACTTCCCTGTGGCCACGCCTTCCACGACGGGTGTGTTCCTGACCGCACATGCTCCATTTGCCTCCAAGACAACTTTCGATTTGGGTGATGATTGCATTTCCATGACGTGGCAGCAGCAGGATTGAAGTTGCCTACCATGTGATTGTTCTAATATGTCCCATCATCGTGTTCAACGTTGCAATAGATGGATATTTTACAAATGTAAAACCAGTAATTGGCGGTCAAAAGCAGTGATAATGATATGAATATCATCGATTCAGATAATATACTTGTCGGATTTAAATGCAGGCTTTTAAGACGTACATAACTAGTATTTTTATGATCTCCCCCGACTACTAACAATAAGTAGCCAGACAATACCCGAACGACCAACATGCAGCTCGATTCCACCCCACTCTACTGTACCATGCGATACAGTTTAGTATTGGAATTAGCTGCTTCGGGGTTTCGGGGTTGGATGGCTCAAGCATCCTTTGCCAAGATGAACGATGCACAAAGCCGAGGACATACCAGTGTTGGTCGCTGAACATGAGAGCGATAAAATCGAAACCAACATCCTTGACATGGTCATCTCGTTGATAGGATCGCCGTCGTTGCACTGCAATAAGCCCATTCTTCTGCAAAGAGAATCGGAATCAATCGTAACTGGCTACTGCCACTAAAGGAAATCTCGACGGGATCTGTGGTGCAACCGGATGGTGCGACGGCGTGCTGCCACGTCATGTGAACAATCGAACATGAAACGGCAAGTTGAAGTGGCTGGTACAATTGTATCAATTACGTGATTGACATGATATTGCACAGAAGTGTCGGCGATGCCAGCATGTGGCACGCCCGCTCTCGGAAAAGCGATAACCACAGAACAGGGAAAGACGAGAGTCATGCTCTTTCAAGGATGGATATGGATGGACGGTGGACACACCAGCGGTCATTTCCGAATTCGATGGCCGATACGCGCAACAACACTGGGCGGTGGCTCATTACGGAAGAAGTGTATGTGGACCTGGCGATCACGTGCTTTTTTGACGGGATCCTGGACGACTGCGACAACGGCGTGACGCTGCGGCAGTACATTTCCCGCCGGTTGCACTGCGATGACATGCGCGTGACCAAGAAGCTTCGCCGCAACAAGGTGCTCGCCGGTCGACGGGTGATTGAAACCAACTACAACCGTCGCCACTTTGTGCGCAAGCGTAAGCACGTCACTCAAGCCGACTTGGAGGCGGTCACGAGCATGAAGCTGGCCTACCTAGCGTTCGAAGCGGCGTTCCGCGAACAAAAAAAGCCGTGGCGGGGCTACGTCTTGCCGACATCGACCTACTTGTCCCATGCAGCGAGTCGGGTGGCCATCCCGGCGCTGCTGAACGGCCTGACCATCGTGCCCCGACGACCGAGCTTGAGATACTCCATCGACACTTCACCCCACTAGTTAATTGGTGAAATATATCAATCTGTGATTGACATATCATTGTGAGGGAGTAACGTCGCGCGTGGTGGGGATGTCCAAAGGGGATTAAAGCATGAAGAACTGACAGGTCGATTCCTTGGAATAGTATCACAAGGAACCTAATATAGCTCGTTCCTGTCTACTGCATCACCGGCTGTCGACACCACAAATGCCCCTATCATGAGATTCCGCTGCGACTGACGACTTCAAGTTCGAATGGCGCGAATCGGTCCATAGGACGATGGGCGTGCTGCGGATGTGTGCGACGCGTGTTTTACGATGACGCTCTAAACAGCACCAGTTTGGCAATGTACAAGGCGACCGTCGATTTCAAGGAACGATTGAACGCCGAAGAGGGTACTAGCCCTGCCATACTCTGTACAGACACAACTTCCGCCGCATGGAGAGGGTATTGTTGTGGAGAACCCATGACGATCGTGCGACTTTCAAAGTGCCATGGCCCGTTCTACGCACCGACCATTCGTGCAGTTTGGTTTCGCAAGTCAACGCCAACGTGGCTTGCTCGTTTCGATGTAACTGTAGACCGTTACAGCTGTACTCGACTTTTCGATGCAAATGCATGCGTATGAATGCCGGAATGTAGGTAGAATGCATGAAAACACTGGCATTCACAGTCAATCACCAGCTAACATCGCGATGTGGAGCCACCGCAAGCTTCACATGATCATGGACGTCCATTTCATGGTAGGAATGGTGCATGTAGAGCCAGACCCAACGCCATCGTGGATGACAATAGTGCACTTGAAGAGGCAGCGCATGCTATCGCCATATATGGTTGCGTTACTGGGGTTTGGGCATGCAGTAATTAATAGCCATCGCAGAGAGAAGAGGTATTAGTTAACTAGTAATTGCCATGGCTAGGCGGTGCGGCGTTGTTGGCACTGTATGGCGATCTGCATGTTCATGTTGCCACTTCAAGCACGACTTCCACTACAGTACCAGCGTATGTATAGCCAGCCCCCCACCTTCCCAAGCATTGTACGATTCACCACATATGGGCGTGTGAATGCAGGGCGGTGGCTGCCCGCGGAGGAGACATTTGTGGACTTGGCCATCACGTGCTTCTTGGACGACTGCGACGTGTCGGCACCACGTTACGGCAGTACATTGCTCGCCGCCTGCAGTGCAAGGAAATGCGAGTGACCAAGAAGATCAGACGGAACAAAGTTCTGGCGGGACGACGCCGCATCCAGGCCAACTACAACCGCCGCCACTTCTTCGAAAAGGCCCACCGGTCCGAGCTCGACTTGGACGCGGCCACGAGTTTGAAGCGGAGTTGCGGCGTCGAAAAGGATCAGGACGGGCGGTGTCGGTGACAAGTCGAGTGGCCATTGCCGCGCTGCTGTCGTCGTTTGAGGCGTAAGTCGGCAGCAACATTGGCCGAGCTCGGAGCTTGGTGCGGGGATCGTTATGCGTTGTGCGGTGATAATATATAAATTGTGTGTATATGTGGTTTAGTAATACTAGAAATGGACATGCGACGAAATTAAACGAACAAGGCAAACACAGCAGCAAACAACACAAGCCAACGTGATTCGGGGACGTTGGCGACAGGAGCGTGGGAAGTGCCGGTGACTAGTACTGGAATAGTTGGCGTCGACGAGCTCGTAGCAGGCACCGTGGAGGACTCTGGAGGTGCCGACGGGGAAGGCACGTGTGTCAATGGACTGCTGTCGGGAGTCGTTGATGAGGTGGAGGTGCTGGCAGGTTTGGTTGTGGTTGGACGTTTGGTTGTGGACGTCGTCGCCAAGCCATCGCACATTTTTCCACCTCCGTGGGTGCATCCTGCTTTGTCGTAATTGTAGCAAGCTCCGAAGAGACTGCACCCAGTGCACACGCCGCTGCTGTTGCATTTATCACCCGTGGAGCATCTGCAAGGGATGAGGAGCGACACTTTGGCTCCGGGCCTCGGGACCTTGGTGAGTGGAAGCTCCAGTTGCTTTAGTTCACATGTTCCGCCTTCCTCGTCCGTCCACGTGAAGAAGTCGCACACAGCTTCCATTCTGCGGCAGTCGTCGCAGCACGCCTCCGCGTCGTCTCTCGACGTGCGTTGAAGTTGTAAGGATGTGGACACATAGTCGACGTCACCTTCAATGGGATGGCATGAGAGTTCCGTAGACATGGATACGGTCATCGTCAGCGCGGCGGCGCTGCCAACGAGGAGCGCGGCGATGGAAGCTACCTTGGCCATGCTGGGCCCAATGAGAAAGTGTTGACAGTGAAGTATAATCATCCTACGGAAATTTTGATCGAAAAGTGTCATGAATTTATATAAAACGTGCGAAAACCGATTGGACCACCATATTTTTGGTCCACCACCAGATGGGAAGAAAACCAGAGGGGGGGTGGGGTGTAAAATCGAATTTTTTCTACACAGTCGAGGCATACACAGTTCAAGGTTAAAAAAGTGATCATAAATTGGTCGTCAAAAATAGAGTAAACTTGCTTGGAAAGTCGGATTTTTGTATTAGAAATACATCTTGAAACGTGATAATTCGATTATGAAGTGAAATCCCTGTGTTCGGTTGTTAAGAATCACTTGACAAAATGTGAAAAGCCTTCCTATGAGCGGAGATATGCGAATTCTACGATGACTACTCGGAAAAAGTGATCATATATTGGTTGGTCACTCACGTTAAGTCGAATTTAAGGGGCTCGATCCATTTAAGGCACGTAAATCCGCCAATCGTTTGATCAATATGTGCATAATGCAAATGAGTTTACAAACATACTATAACATTTATGACCTACAACTTTCATTTGATTTTAAAAATGGGCATATCTCCGTCCTGCTTGATCATTTTCGAATTCTAAATTGTCCTAAAGGTAGAGAATTCCCTGGTGAACAACCCATAATTAAATTCTTATTACCGTGGACAAGGCTTGGAGTCCTGGAACCTCTATAATTTTGAGTGCCTTTTAAGTCGTATAATTTAACCTTCCTCTTTGTATGTAATTGGGAATAGAAATTCAGAGGTTCGCTGTATGATTGGTGCGTATTCAAATAACGATCTATGATTGGTGCATTTTTGTACGACCTAAATTGGCACATACTCCAGAGTACATCCTTCATAAATTGGCACTTTACGTACGTTACGTATATATCCGGAGTACTAGTATTAAAATAGTACTCCGGAGTACACGTTATTACTACTTGTAACGTTACTTGTACGACCTTCCCTTTCAATTGGACAACCGACTGTTTTGAACTCGTTCATAGTGTCCATGATTGTAGGTATCCCCTGAATAGGTGTAACATATTGTAGGATGACAATCGAATGCATATGAGGTCACAGTCATGACGTCCTCGACATTGTCGAAGTGTTTTTCACCCTTTTTCTGTGTGGAGGAAGGCATGGAACTGAACGTCAACTGGACTTTTACGTTCGTTAATATGGACAAATATTCTGGTACGCTCGTCTATGATGAGAGTTCTCATGTGTTCCCGTGTAAGTTCAGCGGTTTAGTTGACTTATAACTACTACAGTTATATATCTGTAGTATGCTCGCGCCTAGTAGTTTCACTCCCCCGACACCACATTGCATTAGACTTGAGTAATATGCTTTTTCCCGTGCGCATGTTAATTCATTAGTATATTAGTAGATATGTTTTCAAGAGTAGAGCTAAAAATCCTTGGCCCAGTCGTTGCCGTCGTCGTCGTACGGCTCGACGTACGGGTCGTCGGGGGCAAATTCGAACCGCGACGTGTCGAACGCCCCGTGCAGGTGTGGCACAAACGGCGGCACCGCTTGTTTCTGCGACAGGGCGTGCCAGTCTACGCATTCAAACACGGCGTGCGACTTCATCGCAGCCATGTCTGCAAACCGCATCGCAGGATCCTTCTCCAAACAACACGCGACCAAGTCGCACATGTCGGGCCATTGGTCTTCAAATGCATTGGGAAACTCGACTGGATCAACTTGGATGGCGCGCATCTGATCGCGCGGCGTCGCCCTTGCAAACGGAGTAGTGCCTAGACATAGCTCATGGAGAAGGACGCCGAAGCTCCAGACGTCGGCGCGGTGGTCGTGGCCTTCCCGACGGACGACCTCGGGCGCCATGTAGTCGATGCTGCCACACATGGTTCCGTTGCGCTGGCTGACGGCATCCGGCTTGGCGAAGCCGAAGTCGAGCACCTTGGGGTACCCGTGGGCGTCGAGCACGAGGTTTTCGAGCTTTAAGTCGCGGTAGATCGTGCCTTGCACATGCAGGTAGTCAAGGGCAAGGATGATGCAGGCGGCGTAGAAGACGACAGCGGGCATGGGCAGTCCGCCTTGCGGTTGCTTGAGAGGCGACATGGAATCGGAATGGACGACCGTAAACAGCTCCCCGCCGGGAAGGTACTCGAGCACGAGGTAGAGGCAGTCGTCGTCCTGAAGGGTTTGGTACAGCGTGGTCACAAACGGATGCCGTAGACGCAGATGCACGAAGCGTTCGCGGACAATGTGCTTTTCCTGCCGATTGCTCACGACGAACTCCTTGGAGATGACCTTGAGCGCCACGGCGCGACCGCTCGGCTTGTGGCGCGCGAGCTTTACGACCCCATACGTGCCCACGCCCAACACTCCCAGCATTTCCAGCTCGGACAGCGTCACTGCATGCATATTCACACCATGAGTTTCCGACTGAATCAACATGGTTGGTAGACGTACCGCGTTCGAAGGTCAGGGTCGCTGGACTGGGACAGGCTTCCTTGAGAGGTTCCAAGGGAGAAGACGACACGGAAGGGCGTATAGCAACTTTGACGTCAACGATAGATGGTTCATTATTGCTGTCGTCAGCAGGGCCAGTCGGGGACTCTGTGGCAAGTTCTGTGGGCGAGGTTGGTCTTCGCGAACTTAGTTTCTTGAAGAACGAGGACACACGCGTGGCTACGCTCGACATGGCGTCGGTCAGGATGTCCGAGGTTGATGTTGCAGTTGGCGGCAACGACGATAGATCACTCGCGCCAGGGGGTCTGTTGTCACTGCGCTGCGCTCCAACAACAATCGCCCAACAAGGCGCAATCTTGACCAAATACAATGAGAATATTTTATTCACATAGAGTATTTGTATTGATTAATATAACTCCCTGCCACAAGGGACGCTTCGCGAACGGAGTAGAGTACATTTGTACTTCGAAGTACCACGATACATACGCTCGTCATAATAGCTCTAAATATTGATCCATGTCACATTAATCGAACTAATTGTGCTCAAAACAATTATATATTATATTTTGAATCGAGTTCCATAGTTTACCACACTGTTATTAATATTATTCAACAAGAAAATACTTCCAAGTCAATAAATATGGTAATATGACCAAGTACCTATTACTCCAGGTCGAAGTAATACTAGTACTACTAAATGTTGAGTAGTACTATTAATACTTACTGTATACCGATGCTACTGTATCCTACACAGGTATTGAATGATACGGGTACGGCAGAGTTTATTAAGTATGAAGGGTATGACGTAGCATTCTCATCAATTCGAACATAGTTTTTTGCTGGCAACGAAATGCTGCCTCACCATCGCGGCGGTCGCGGCAAAAGCGGCTTAGGTGGAGGAATCCCTCGGTCCACGTGGATCAAGTATGGCGCCATTGGCATCTTTTCTCTTCTATGCATCAAGTTTCTCTTCTTTGTTGACCCATTGTCGGTCGAAGACCTGCTGCCGTTCCAAAACAAGACCATGTACCAATTCACCACGAAATTCGGTACCCCTCGCGTCCCTTTCGTCGCATGAGACTCGTCATAGGGCAATTCACTGTGGAGTTGTTCCCCAAGCACGCCCCATTGACTGTGGAGCACTTTGAACAGTTGATCTCGTCGGGGTATTACAAGGAGAACGCTGGCATCTACCGCGCCGAGCCGGGCTTTGTTGTCCAAGGCGGCGGGTTCGTCCACGACAAGCTGTCGCCTCTCGGAAACGTCCAGGTTGAATACAGGTACTGTCCATATACATCACGACTCGATGACGTTGTCTCACACACGTCGGTAGTTTGCCGAGCGAGGAGCGGATGGTGGTGTTGGCGCGCAACAAGGACCCGCTGTCCGGCAACACGGAGTTCTCGATCATGCTTGCGGACAACTCTGCGATCAACGCGCCGCAAGGGACGTCTCCTGGCTATACCGCGTTTGGCCGGGTGTACTCTGGGTATCCCACGGTCGTCGCCATCGCCAACGACATGGCCGAGGGGTACCTCGCCAAGAAAAACAAAGATCAGGTCTACCTACATTCATCCACGAATTTTGCCAATTAATATTTCGAAAATTAGAAATTCAAAGCATTTGGACTGTCTGGATCAAACTGATATCTATAGAAAATATTTCGATTCTCAGTTCTTGCCAACTTTCAGACAAAAAGTCGTCCCTTGAACCTGATTGGCTAATATTTTTGAACTTATCTGAGGTAGCCAATCAAATCGATTTACATTCCAACGACAAACCACGCCACAATGAAATGTCACTCGAAAGAACAATAATTGGTTTCAATGTTATTTTTTGCCGATTTCTTCGAAATTGCCAACATATCAAAAATGTTGCCAATATGTGTTGGACATCCAGACTTTTTTATATTAAACGTGACTTGTATTATCAGGTTGTGACGTTCAACTCGATCGACACGGTGTCGCAGTTGGCGCCCACGACCGCCGACCTCCGCGCCGTCTCGGACGCCATCCACGACGCCGCCGCCACCCGTTTCAGCGTCGTTATGTTCAGCAAGACATCGTGTCCGTACTGCAAGGAAGCCAAGCGCACGTTAAAGGACATCGGGGCTGAAGTGCATGTGGTGGAGCTAGACTTGTTGCCGCCGGGCACAGCGTCGCAGTTTCAAGACACGCTGGACGCGTACACTGGTCGCCGGACGGTGCCCAACATTCTGCTTAATGGCAAGTCCATTGGCGGCGGGGACGAAGTAGAAGCGCTGCATGACGCGGGGAAGCTCGTGCCGCTGGTGCAGGCGACGGGCGCGATGGTCAAGCAAAAAGTCATCTTGGAGGTACACAACCCTCGTCTGAACGATATATGGGCGGAATGTGGTTGAGTTTCTGCAAGGATATATTGTATTTTCAAGCTAAATTGGGTATTTTCGGTGGAATCCACGAACGACGTTAAATCTACCTGAAATCGTCGAGACGTCGCTTTACTAAATATACTCCCTGTGAATCCTGTCAGATACAATGTTCAACTCTTTTAGTGACATGGACAAGCGCCGGATACTCCTACGATTTGATTGGTCGAAATGTTTTTATTCGATATTTTGATTGGCTCCTTCGGTTCGTGGATTGCTGCGGTGTGATGTTTTGCTTGGTCGATTCAATTGGCAGCCCTTTGAAATCGAATTACCAATTTATATTTAGTCCGTTGACTCCATATATATATACTATCCGTTGACCCCAAACAATTTGGACTTGCGTGCTTCCAATCGATATCGATTTATTGCCGTTTTACCCAATTTTTGGACTTTTGTGCTGACTCGATCGATTGTTTGTATAGAATACTTTGTATATCAGTCTAATAATTCAAGTCACACAATACACTTCGACGTTGATGCTGGTTTCGTGCTGCACTCTGATTGGCTACATACTTGTGGTGGACATTGGATCATGTCGATTCGTTCTCGAGTGTTATATAAACCCAACCATATCTCATATTCATCGTGGTTTTGTGTGGTGGTGGCAGTCGATTCGAAACCACCCCGTGGTCGTGTTCACCAAGTCGTACGATCCGTACTCGAAGGAAGTGCTGGCCGTACTCGGCATTGTCGGCGCTTCCCCCGTCGTGATTGAGCTCGACACGCACCCGAACGGCGACGCCATCTTGTTCTACTTGATCCAGATCACGGGCAGGAAGACCACGCCCAATGTATTTGTGGGCGGCAAGACCATCGGCGGCAGCGACGACACCAAGCAGTTGCACGCGACGGGCGAACTCACGCTGCTCCTGCAGAGAGCGGGGGCCTTGTAAAGTTGAGATGCGAACACATACTTACATATATGTGATACATATAAACTGTACACTTGGTATACGGTTGAGGGGTTGGTGTATCGTGACAAGCACTGGAAGTACATACTGAGGGCGAGTGACGTGGCACGATCCTGTGAAGGGAAGAGATGGTATACTCCACCCAAGTGGATCACTTATCTACCCCATTTCCCATATTCGACCTAACGTCGACGACCAATATATGGTGCAGCTACGTGTCTCTCAGGACCGGGATATTTTGCAATTCTGAAAAGTGCTGCATGAAGCCGAAGGTTAGGCCTTCTTGTAATCGGCGTGAATAGACTTCAGTTTAGCGTTCATTTACTTTGATTTCCACTAACTGTAAGTCAAGGCAAAATAGGAGGGACGGTTGTTTATTGGACAGTAAGCTGATGTTAAAATATGTATGCAGGTTTTTGCTTATTTTTTGGTGATTCTATTTTTCTAGTGATTCGATTGGCTATTCCAAAACGCAAGCAATTCCATTGGCCAATTTGAGTGCACCGTGCACCATAAACTACTACTACACCTTTTTTCTATTGAAACAGACAAATTTTCAATTGATTGGGTCACGGATCCAATGGATTTGCATTTGCGTCCACGTATTTGGTACGCGATCCACTGGAATCGGCACATGCAGCTCGTGTGTCCAATGGATTTGGTACATAAACCATTAAACTCGGCATCCACCCAAACAAACAACCGTCCGTCGCTTGGATTTAATGATGAGTGCAATTGAATCGGTAGAATTGATATTTTCGAACATTCTAGAGTATCTATGAGAGATCTTCGCGCGCTTTTCCGCACTTTTTAAAATCGCGCAAAGCAGCCATGGACGAACAAGCGCCTCAAACACCGGTAACAAGTTGACCGACCTCTCGTGCTTACTGTATTGCTAGCCACTGCGGCGCACGTACAAGCGGATCCCCATGTCGGCGAAGCGCCGCATCGTGAACGCATTTGACAATGCGAAAGACTGGAAGGCAGTCGCCGTAGCTAATGGGGTCAACATCAGCACTGCTCGCAATTGGGTTCATTTGGATTCACTCACGCCGAAGAAAAGAGGTAGAACATCTTTTATCTCACTCTAACAGGTCTTGGTTAGGCGGAAACCGACCTAAGGTTTTGACACCGGAGAATATCGATCTTGCGCAGAGTTGGGTCGAGTTCGATGCCCAGATCACGCTTCAAGAGATGAAAGATCGCTTGATGCTTGAGCTGGGCATCAATGTTTTAAAGACAACTCTTCATCGCGAACTGGACAAGCGCGTCTTCACCTACAAGACCATCCACTACGAGCCACTCCAGATGAACGATCCATCCTTCAAGGACAAGCGCGTCGAATATGTTGTGGCATTTCGCGAACTGATGGGTCAAGGAAAGATCCCCATCTGGATTGACGAGACCAACTTCAACTTGTTCACTTGCCGCACCAAGGCACGCTGTCGACGTGGGACACGCGCTGTCGTTGTGCGCGGCGGCACGCAAAAGGGGAAGAATCTCCATGTGATCGGTGCGATGTCGTCTGCCAACTTTTTTTTCTGTACCCACAAGCGTGGGGCGTACAAGCACCAAGACGCCAACCTTTGGCTGCGTGATATGTTGCGTGCGGCGACTCAACACTTTGGACGACTCGACGACATTGTCGTTATTGCAGACAATGCTCCTTGTCACTTCCGGTATGAGTGTTGATAGATTTGATTCTAACAAACGATTAGGTTGGAGCAGGTTTTTGAAGAGGCGGAGTTCGACAGTGCAAA